TCTGCAAAAATCAATATTTCTCCTCTGCAAGAAATTCTGTATGAAATACCTACAAAATTTCGCCTCCACGAAGAAACCACAAAAATTGAGCAAGACACCTTTCACCTCCTCCGAAAATCACAATCGTCGGTTATAAATACATACAACGGGTCTCCCTGAACTCACCTCAAACCCCTTTGAAGCCTTAACGTTCAGCCCGACGAGTCCATCGAGTCCATCAAGATTTTCTCCTCTGGTCGGCCAGGTCGTCGCGGCGAAGATCTCAATCAATCCGTGGTGGCGTCTCGGAAGACGCGCGTCGCGCACCCCCGCGGCCATCCGGCGCCGCAAAATCGGCAACGGGGGTGGATGGAGACTTGACGGGGTGTGGCCGTACCCGGGATTAACCCGTCTGACAGCCAATCATATCCAAGACAGCCCCACCAGGTTCGTTCTGGTGACTGGGAGAGCCGGCTGAAACTGTCGTCCTCGACTGTGCCACCCTCTCTAGCAACCCCCACCGCTAATTGCCCTCGCTTTAATATCGCGCGTGGAACGAGAAAGGTGGACGAGGGGATTGGCGGAGAGGAGAGGCGATAAGGCAGCAGAATGCTGGCAGAGAGCAACCGGGAAACGGAGACTGCGCCCCGTTTTGTGTGCGTTCTCTCTGTGACATCTACATTGAAAACGCGGGGGTTGGCTTGCGCGTGCATATTTGCGGATTTTACTCGCGCGACACAACCCGATTTTGCCGGTGGGGGCAATTTGCGAGGCTCGTTTTGCTTTATTAATGATCCCACGATGATCGAGGAGCACGAGAGAGAGCGTAACTGAGAGATTGATCGACGCTACCGACGAGTCAATTTGCCCGTCATCACGCGATGATGTCGTGCAACGATGTTGTATCAGTTGGTTCTCGGCGATTTGTTCGTTTTCAGGGATTTCTTTCAGAAATTGGGAAAATAGGGAAATTGTTAGTACGCTTGTCTTTGGTAAGGTGTTGGGTAGAGAGTGATTGCGTTAAAATTTTTGGTTGAGAAGAGAAATATCCTATTCTCATTGATGCACAAGAATGGTTGTGACAGAGAATATGTGCAAATAGTTGGAATACATTTCTCCTCAATGGGCAAAGGATGTATCATGTTTTCAATATTTTTAGACATTTTGGAAATGGCGTAATGTTTTTTAAATGTATTTTATGTTTGTATGTTGTTTTCTAAGGTGAAGCTTCTTCTTTTCAAGTTTCTGTGGTGTTTACTGGAGTAAAGTTCATTTTTTTTCCAAGTTTGTACGTTGTTTACTGGAGTCAAGTTATTACTTTCAAGTTTGTGTGTTGTTTACTGGAGTCAAGTTTATTTTTTCCAGTTTGTACGTTGTTTACTCGAGTCAAGTTATCCCTTTCAAGTTTGTGTGTTGATTGCAGAAGAAAAGTTTCTGTTTTTCAAGTTTGTATATTGTTTGCTGGAGTCAAGTTAATTTTTTCCAGATTGTACGTTGTTTACTAGAGTCAAGTTATTCTTTTCAAGTTTATCTGTTGTTTGCAGAAATAAAGTTTCTTTTTTTCAAGTTTCTGCGTTGTTTACTGGAGTCAAGTTATTCCTTTCAAGTTTGTGTGTTGTTTGCAGAAGAAAAGTTCCTTTTTTTCAAGTTTGTGCGTTGTTTTCTGGAACAAAATACATTTTCTTCAAGTTTGAATGTTGTTCACTGAAGTCAAGTTAATTTTCTCAAGTTTGTACATTGTTTACCGGAGTGAAGTTTATTTTTCACGCAGCTAATGAGTAATTCGGCAAAATCGACCTAAAACAAGCCGGAAAACATGAGACCAACAGAAGAATCCACGAGGAATTCACTCTTACAGACAGCCGGGTATTCCCGAAAGATGAAATTACTCGTTCATCCGAGCGTGTTCATTTTTAACACGAGCGGGTGGGGGCGAACGACTAATTAAAGACAGAGGGAAATTTCGCCAGGAAAACGAAACTCCTGGCCGGATATCGTCGTCTTCGCCTTCTATATTGGCTCGTAAGGGTGGCTCTTATAAAGCGGAGCAATTATCCGGGTAAAATACTCTCCGAAATTTCCGTGATAAATTTCGTCCCGTAATAAGGGTGAGTCGCAAGTCATTTGGCCGGGCTTGTGGAGAGGGTGGGTATCGGTGCTTCAATAGAAATTCTTTCCAACCCCCCACCAACGTCGTCGACGCGCGCGCGCGCCGTTTAATTTAAACATTTGTCGCTGATCTCATTCGATACTCCAACCAGAAGCTTCTTCCGGTCGAAAGCTAATAATTACCGAGTCTGAATGCAGTGACAGTAGGGTGGATGGTTGAAATGGGGCGCGTTTTCAATGTCGCCTCCTTCGTAAGTGTCTCCGGGGAGAAAAGTTAGGTTAGCTTGTAATTGAAATTAAAATGTACCGTCGCCAAATGGTAAGAGCTTGCGTTTCCCGTATAATGGAGTAATTTTCCTGGCCTTTGTCTCGGGAATCGGGGATGTTAGAGTGTCCTGACACCTCTTAGAAATTTTTAGGAATTTATATCTTATTTTGGTTACCTTGGACCTTTCTTCACTAATTAAAAATTGGATAAATCTTTTTAAATATGTCTAAAAATTTTCATTTCTAATTTTGAAAATTTGTTCTTTGGAAATTTAGGGCGCCCTGTGTAGATGATATTGGAATTTGTGAGATAAAGGGAGAAATAGAAACCTCTTAACGTAGTTTTTGATCATTTTTATACGATCTTGCGTCTTTTACGCAAAATATTGCATTGTTCGCGAGAGAAATAGACCAAATTGCAAATACCGTGGAAATGTATGATGCAGAAAGAATTTAAAGAGACTTCCTCGGTGCAGTTTTTGAGAATTTCTGTACTTTGTCTTCTGTACCGTGCTATTTACTGAGAAATAGGTGAAGTTGTTCGTAATATGGGGAACCACGGGACAAGAAGGGATTTATGGAGTGATATACTGATAATGGCGGTTCGAAGTTTGAATCATAAAACGGTTGTCGTTAAGAATACAGTTAACGTTCGCTATTATGGCGTCTTTTCAACGAACCGCGTGGCTAGACACAAACTTACCGGTCCAGGGAAATATACGATGCAATTACGCGGTTCTATTGTTTGGTTTCTAAAATATGCAACGCGTAGTCGAAGTAAATTTGGGATTTATAGCTCAATCCCAACTTCATAATGGCTCCCGCGAAAGTTTTTGCACGAGCAGGCTAAACAGGTCGTCCATTAAATCGAACTTCACCTCGTCATTCGCAGAGAAAAGCTTAAATTGTAACGGTGTTTTTTATGAAAAGAAACGTATTTAGTATCTCACTTCAGGGAATCTTAATTAGATAAATCTGTAATTATGATGCATCGTTTAAGGAAGTAAAAAAGCTGGTAAAACGGCGACGAAGGAGGAGAGAAGAGTCAAGACGACATAAAACCTATACGTAATTAAGCTCTTGGCCTTGAGCTTAAGCTCCTTAGAGGTTTTCCGAGGCACTGAAATTCCCGCATACCCGTCAACGTCTAATGAGGGGATTGCGGATGAAGTTTCGGGCCAGAAAGGGGCAATTAGGCGAACAGTGTTCGCTACAGCTTCGAGAAACCTGTAAACAATGGCAGCCGCGGTGATCTTCCATTATTCGCCGCTTTTAAACGCGACATTGCAGAGCTCAAGCTCCGATATTAAGAACAAGAACCCAAAGAAATACTTCAAAAACGACAAGAAGAATTCAGGAAACACAATATCTCCAAATTCTAGACCTCAGGAAAACCACCCTGAAAATCAGCCCGAAGTGAAAAAGAGAGAAAACTTTCGTTACTCCGTGGAAGGAACACAGACGTCAAAGCGAATAATCATCTGGAACCGACTGAATTCATCAACGGCGGCCATCTCAATCGGAGTCGCGGACGGCCGAGGGCAAGAAAGATCACCGGGAGAAAATTAAACGACCTCATCATCATTAGAACGCGACCACCTAATTACCGGGAACGTCTTAGACGCGGATGACATCGTCGACGAACAGCAGACAATCGAGGAGAAGGTGTCTCTCCCTCTTCCACGTCCTCTGTTACCCACCGTGTAACGTTCAAGAAGGACGAGAGACGTTGTACACGCTCGGAGAAAGCTTATTAATGGGGGGTTGAAGAGGAGGAGTACGGTGGGGTGGTATGGAGGTCTAGAACAGTAGGAAGAACGAGAACAGGCCTTGAGAGAGGTACACGTCGAGCTTGCCTGCTGCCTCGCGGCTGGATGGTTTGAGGCAGAGGGTGGAAAAAAAGTAACAGACTCCCCGCAAATAACCCCCCACGTTGCTGGTGATGGGCGTGGCCTGGCTCGGTGGTGATGGCAGCGCCTGGCCAATCGGTAGTCGCAGTGCAGCCGCGCCGTTGGCATCCCTGGTCGAACGAAAAAATATTGACCGCGGCGAGGGGGTATTCTGCGGTCCATTTGGGGGTTGCGGAGGTGAAACACAACGTTGGACTGATTGCCAGCAGAGTGGCGAACGCTAGTACCCACGGCGGCGAAGGTGAGGGGAGGGGTGGCGGCGGTGGACCGGGTGAATACCCCCCTCGTCACGTACGGGATCATTAGCCGGATATCCTTAGTCCTGCTGGCCAACCCTCTCTGATAGCGGTGATCCTCGTGCCTGACATCATTATCCTGGGACGCTGTGCAGCGCCAGCGCGGCTCGGCCATCCTTCGAGGCTGCCCTCTCGTCATCGTTTCCACCAGTTCCTCGTGTTTTGCCTCCCCTGTTGTGTCTCCACAGCTATTCTCGCGAATGGTCTCTGACTGGTTACCGCGGTTATGACAGGGTGCACAGATTGACGTTGTGATTGCTAGTGTTCAGTGATAGAGGGCAAAGTTTCACAGTAGATCGAACATCTGTTGGAGTGGATTTTACGGAGATTTTTGAACACGATGGACGACGTGGCGTGATTGTACAGAGAGTGATAGGATAGTTGAGAAAGAGTACCGTTTGACTGAAAAGTGTGAGTTTGTTCGAAAGCCGCGGAGAGTATGGAGCCGAACGATCCGTCGGGAAGATTGACCGTCGAGGATCTGTCAGATTGCAGAAGTGAGAGCAGTCATTCCGAGAGCCAGTTGCGAGCATTCCAGGACTACGAACGTATCAAGGAGTTGAATCTGTCGGTGGATAAATCGAAAGAAGATCCTCAGGTCGAACCGAAGGACTTCCATTTAGGCCTGGAGCCTGGGAGAACCTCTATCCGCTTCGACGAGTTCGAGAACGCAAGTAGAAACCTTCCGATGGCGTTGAACAAGGGCAAGGATTTCGGATACGTCGCTGGTGGTCTGAACGAGATGACTTACCCGTTGGACAGATCGAGTGAAAACGACGAATCGATGGATACGAGTAGCTTGTGCAGGAGCAAGAATCCGACGGCTAAGGATTTGCTGTTCAATCTTCGTGAGAATAGACACAAAAACGCTCACGCGGCGTTGTCGTTGGACAGGTACGGCAAGGATTTGAATTTCGCGGTGTCCGAGAAGGATATCAAGGATTTCGGTCTGCTGAAGAATTACAGTCTCGATCGAATGAAGGAGTTCAATCTGTCGTTGGACAGGATGAGAGACAGTCACATCGGCAATTTCGCTTTGGAAAGACTGCGCGGAGGTGCTGGATTGCTGGAGAATCCTCCGATGTTGGAGCACAACGAGTTGAAGAGTATGCAGATGCAACCGAGGAACCAGGACTTGGAGGCGATCGCGTTGGAGCGAATGAGACGGTCTCATTTGTTGGGCACCGATCTCACGGCACAGAATCTGTCCACACAACTACCTCATCCGCATTCCATCACGCAGATGCAACACTCGCAGCAACAGCAACAACAGCAGGCCAAGTCGTTCACCATCGACGCGATCCTTGGGCTGAGGAACAATCCTAGGGAGAAGCGGAGTCAGCAACAGCAGTACAGGAAGCATCAGGGTAATTGGATTATGTTTCGGATCATATGCATGATTCTAGAGGATTTTGTTTGCAGGGGACGAAGGGCAAAGTATTAGGTAGTGTTGTACGAAATGTCGGGTTTTTTGGGACAGAATGAGTATCGTTTTTTTAATTCTTAGATTATCCAACAGTAACTTACCGAGAATTGTATGAACCTGAAGTTAAGACGGAAAAGCGGAGACCTTTTCAGCGCTCCAATTATCATTTGAGACATCCTTGACGCGATAAATTTTAAATAAAACTTGGAGTACGGTCTATGTATTTTATGAATTTCTCTATCTCGAATATACAGATAGCTTCTTTGGAATATTTTTTATTTAGAATGTTTTAAAAGGAAACAGCACAGAAAGTGTCGAACTTCAGGTGGATTTGCATGAGAAACAAATGCAAATGAAAAAACACCGTGACGACAGTTCTGACAAAAATCTCTTTATCTATTGTGCCGCAGTCTGCAAAATTCTCGTTGATCTCAGTAAAGCAAGAGAAGTATTGCAAATTTTAATAATCCCTCGTTGGCATCTTTGGTTTCTTAGTTTCTACAGTATTGTAACTTGAAGGTACGAAACTGAGGGAAATATCAATTTTTGACACTATTATAACCTATTCAAATTAAACTCTACCTTTATACATTAGAAACGTGTGTGCCCACAATAGCACACTATTTAAGAAAACAACCACTGATAAATCTACACCTTTACCTTCCACCTTTCAACACATTTTCAGAGCCGAATGACATTACTGTATGCTCTGGAATTTCCACAAACTTTCATACACCACTAATCACCGTGTACTCTACAATTCCCCCAAAAATTTCCTTGTTCACACATCGCTATTTACTCACATCTGTTCACTATACACTCACAAAATCTTCACCACTGTTCACATATCTCTATATTACTCTACACTCTGTAATTCCCAAAAATCTTTCATTGTTCACGCATTACTATTCGCATATCTCTACATCACAGTTCCCCCAAAGAAACTCTAATTTTTCGCCTAATACCTTTCGACACAGCTCAAGAGGGCGGCACGAAGAACAGCAGCTCGAGCTCGTGTTCCGGCGGCGGCGGCAAGCTGAAGAGGGTGCGTACGATCTTCACGGCGGAGCAGCTGGAACGGCTGGAGGGAGAATTCGCGCGTCAACAGTACATGGTCGGTCCAGAACGATTGTACCTGGCGCACGCACTCAGGTTGACCGAGGCCCAGGTGAAAGTGTGGTTCCAGAATCGGCGGATCAAGTGGCGGAAGCATCATCACGAGCAACAGAGCCAAAGGGTGCACGAGTTCCAGCGATCGCTGAACTCCTCGCTGGAGCACGAGGACAGCAACGAGACGGACAAATGGTGAAAAGAGTCCACGTTCCACGATCAAGAAGCACCACTTCGTTTCCTCGTTCCCCCCTTGCTTCTTCCGTTCTTCGATCCTAGAAACGTTCGACTGTTCGCCCTCGAGGAGAGACTAATCGGCGAACGAGGACCATTTTCATACGACACGAACGCCCTCTGACACTTTTCCTGAAGCTTCCTCGGTCTGTTTTGAGAATTTCTTGGACACTTTATCCTTTCGTTTACTTGATTTCCCGTGGAACATGAAGAGAAAGACTGGAGCTACGTAGAGAAAGGTAGCGGAGCTTGATCTCGAGGATCCTCGAGACTCTAGAAGAATTTCGCGGTTGAAAATCGTCGATCTTGGAGACGAACAAGTTAACCTGTATTGTGATTTTGTATAACTAAAGATTGAACGATCCTTTCTTCTTATTCTTCGATCTTCGGTGTTGCACGACGATGACGATCAAATAGGGAAGAGAGAAAGATAGACGAGACGATTTACCGATAGGAAAGGGAACATGTAAATTCTCGTTTTAACAAGTGCAAAGGTGAAAGGACAACTTTTTTCATGATTCTTTGCCGCACGCTGTACAAAACCCCCGAAACTGCAACGATGAAACAAGCAGAGAATTATAAGACGAAGTACGCGGCACACTCGTATCCTGACGCGAGGGATTCGCCTGAGTCGTACTGGAGGCATCAGCAGAGGAAGAGCCAGTCTTTTCCGCTTGGCAAAGGCAGCAAGTAGGTATTATTTGAACGTGACGAATACACTTCGAGTCTTTCAATTCGTCAACGAAACTGAAATCGTTGAGCGAATAGCAGGGCGAAAATCTTCATCGTTGACACGTTCGCTACCAGCGCTACATACAACGGGTGTTCAAATTATTATGATCACTTCGAAATTATTATCACTTAATCAATATTTGAACGAGAATGAAATTAAAAATGCAATTAAAATGAAACGTTTTTTATTGTAAACAGTGTAGTTATGTGACGCGTTAATTCTCACGATAGATCAGTATTATCACACGAAATGCACAGTTTGCCTGTTTAAGTTACGTGTGCATTTTAACCGACAAAAATGTTTCGGGGCATCATTCGAGGGATTTCAACAGAACGACGTTAACGAACGTGTTGAATACTCTTCAACCCTCGGAAGGCGAATGGTTTTAGACGAATGCAGGGTCATTTTGACGCATAGCAAAATCTCTATTTTACACGGGTTTTTTGTATTTCCTAATCTGAGCCGCCTGACTTGATCGCTGCTGAGTCAAAATGACCCTGCATTTCTCGTACGAGGGTTAAACGGTATTTGAGATGTTCTTCCTCGAAAATTCGATTTCTAAAGCAACTGAACGCAAGAGAATGTGAAAGTTTGCGGTGTCATTTTCCCTGTGAAAAAATGTTCTCAAGGATCCCGGAATCGTCGACGAACTACTATTCCTCGCCGTCTTCTTACAAGTCGCAGAGAGGTCACGTGTGTTCCAGTCCGACGTACACGAAGTACACCACGCTCCACAATTCTGACGCGTCGCATCTGCAGAATCACTCGAAGCCCAACAGAGACAAGTATTACGCCAGTTTCTCACCGACGAGGAAGGCACGCTACGAGGATGAACTGGGTAACGTGACGAAATTGAAGTTCACCAACGAGGACCTGGAGGACCTCGCGCAGGACAACGTGGAAGAGGATGCTGAGGAGGAAGCTACAGGTTGATTTTAAAATAGCATGAAAGTTTCTTTGTTAACCCATTAATCCCCAAAGTTGCACAAACGAAACACATAAAGAAAAAGTAATAAAAGAAATTATATTACCTTAGAAATTCAAGTTAATTCAATCTGTGTTATATTTTATGTATTGGCGTGACAATTTATTAATATTAAAGTCTAGTTAAAATTTTTTTAGAAAAATGCTCTAAGTACTTATCAAAGTAGCTTCACATACATTTCATTTGAAATAACGTACCATTCTATTAGTTGTAAATTTATTTAGTTTTTGCTCAACTGTCACAAGTCACAAATTTTTTTGTTTAGTACAACTGCATATCATCATGTGTTTCTGTTTGTGACGAAGAGTACTATCTTGAAAATAACAATCTTTCTACCTCTCACTCAGAATTAACGGGTTAATGTTTGCTAACGCTGGCTTGCAAAAATTATGAAAAGGCTCTTCAGTCTTTAGGAAGATACGAGAGAGTTTAGATGCAATTATAAATATTGTTGGGTAGTTGAGCACCTTTGAAGAGCGAAATTGTGTTTTTTTTTAAATAGCATGGATTTTTAGGATTACAAGCTGACAGAATTTTGAAATTGCTGTTGTGAACAGAGGACGATCGCGAGGAGACGTGTGAATTCCTGAACAAGGATTACGAGGAGCAAGAGGCGGACGATGAAATAGACGAAGAGTCCGACGCGTCTCCGTTGGTTCGTAGAGCTCAAAGAGGAGGGAAGAACGAGACGTTGCTGAGGCAGCCGCAACGATGGAGAGCCATGGAACAGCAGACGGATTCACGAAGACCTCGTTATCAGCAGTGTGTGCCTTTGGTGCAGAATCATCCGTCATCTCCCAAGTAAGATCGAACATTCTTCCGGATGGTTCATTTTCAATTGGATTTTAGTGTGACGTGTGCACGAATATTTTCACAAATTTGTAATCACTGATACTTCAGTTCAACCTCTTTTTATAATTTCACACGGGGTATGTGCACATTTATGTAATATCAATATTATTCACCACTCAAAAAATTTTTAATTTTTAATTGAAATTTGAAATTGAAATTCATAACTGAATGTAACTCAGTTAAACAAATCATCTGAAGCATCTTCTTTTAATCCTTCGATACGTACACCAATGACCTTAACCCTAGAGCGGTCTTCGGGTCTTTCTTGACCCACCGCCTTTTTATATTTTTAGTCATTTTTGCTGTTATCAAGTTTACGTTCCTTATCATTATTTTAAACGTTTATTGCCTAGGTTCGTATGTCGCGTTGGAAACAAAAATTATTACACATAAGGTCTTGGGTCCTTTTTCACCCAAAAGTCTTAAGTGTGCAGTCAAAACGAAGGGTCATGCAGGGTCATTTAGACCCATAACAGAATTTCTATTGTACACGGGTTCCGAGAAGGAATTGGGTCTAAATTTGTATACTTTCAACTGTATATATTTTATATTTTCCTTGTTTATTTACATTTGATACATAAAACAGGTGTGTTTCCTGTACCAAACGTAATCTGAGACGCGTGACTTTATCGCTGTTAAGTCAATATGGCCCTGCATTCGTCGTACGAGGGTTAATACGACACCAATATTACATCGTAATTGACCATTCACAAAATTTAAATACAATTCAACGTTAAATACAAATACTGCTCCTTCACCTGAACACACTTGATTATAACGAATCTCCAAAATTAAGCAATCGATCTCCTTTTAACCCTTTACACTCCACGCGATATTTCCAATTACTTCAATACAAATCAGCAAAGCTCGGAAAATTTCTTAGTACACCTTCTTAATTCGAACGAATCGAGGATCCCCGTCTTCAATTATGATTCCAATTAGGTATTACCACGTCGTGGCCGAGCACGAGGTACCTGAGCCCTTATCAGATGAAGACTTCGTCCGAACGTCGCTGAGGAACCCGACGAGGCGACAACCCGCGGAATATCGTCAGTGGTCATCGTCGAGGAACGATCCTGATCGATACGACGACGTGATCCAGTCGACTCGACGATCCAGCATCAAACCGGAAGGGAATCGGCTGTTGGAGCCGGAGCTGGTCAGAATAAGAAGGTGCAATCGCTGCGGTAGCCTGTCGACCAGCAAGAGGAACGAGTTGCCTATGAAAAACAGCTGCAGATTCGACGATCGCGTGAATATCCCTACCAAGGGACCAATCGGTAAAATTGTGCATTCGTGTGTATGTGTTTTAGTAGTTAGTAGGTTATGTTGTAGCTTTGGAGATTTCAGGAGAAAGTGTTAACCCTTTCGAAACTCCATCAAGCTGCACTAATGGTGCATATAAGTACCATCGTTACTTTGATTTCTTTTTCAACATTTTTTTGTATAAGAATGAATATTGTTTTGAAAAAAAAAAGAAAATATGAAACGCAGAGAGAATTGTTTCACACTGCCTTAGATTAACAGCGTTCTGAAAGTGTTCATTTTTGAAGGAAATGAGTAATTCATTTATTTGAGAGAATTGATTCGCTTTCTCTGCGACATTTGACAATATTCTCCTCGCCAAAATTGAAAAATACTAAGAAAAAGAGATGTACCTTTGAAAAATAACTGCACAGCGGAAGGGTTAAATTCGAACGAATATCGCTGTCTTCGATAATATTCTGAGCTGAATAAAATTCAACGAGGAATCAAGTGTCGCCTAAACAACTTTCCAAATAAGCAATTCTACGTTAAATTTCATTAACAAAACTCGCCGGGAGGATTGATTCTCTTTCTCCGTGACGTTCAACAATATTCTTCTCGCCGAAATTGAAAAATACAGCAAATAATTTGAAAAATAATTGCGCGGCGAAAGGGTTAAATTTGAACGAACAACATCGCTACCTTCCACTCAAAGAACGTTCCAAATCGTCCAAAATAAAGACACCCAGCAACCTAGCACCCCCAAAAGCATTCACGTGAATCATCAAATTCTCGTTCAGAGCTAACCGTAACTCCTGACGATCAATTATCAAGAATCTACCACGAAGAATGGCTACGCATGTATATCCTAAAAAATGTTTCAGGCGACGAGCCGGAGAGCCTGGCATACTGCGGCCGCTGCAACCTGAGGTACAGCACAAAGGACACGAGCGACGCGATCGACATCCCGTCATCCCCGTACCACGCGAAATTCCGCAAACCTCGTGAGATAAAGTCACCAACGATCTACGAGGTCCCCGAGCAAGGCCAAGTGAACAAGCTCTCGAACGACTACACGCGATCCACGAGATACCAGAGGAAAGCTGCGGACGCGTTCACGGAGAAATCGAAGCGTGCCTTGCACACATCTCACGGCACCGCGCGAATTCCTTCTCGATACACCGAATAAAAATCAATCGAGATCCCTTCAACACTTCCAAAAAAAAAAAAACAGAAAGGAGGACGAATAAAAGGTGTCTATAAAAGAAGAGCAGAGGAATAAAAACTAATTCTACGTCGTGAAACACACACGATGGAGATCCGATCATTTTCGTGACATTTCGAGATCGAAGATTCTCCCCCTCGACTCCCAGGCGATTCTCGCGAATATTTTCGTATAAGGAATTCGTACCCCGTATCGTTGTTTACGAACGTGTGTGTGAGTAAATGTGTGTGTGTGTCGATAACAAAAAAAAAAAAAAAAGTTGGTAGAAACGAGCAACCCTTTCGTTGTAATTCATCATCGAAGGAAGACTTTGATCTATGAGTTGCAGCAACGAACGAAAGCATCCATAGGAAAGAAGTGAAAATTCAGATGAGGAATAAATAATGTCGCTCTTACTCGATCGTTTCCCTCCTACTGGTTGTGTAATATATATTTTTGTAACTGTCCTCGGGTGTTGTAGGTGTTGAACAAGAAAAACACTGTGCGTGTTGTCTCGGGACTAAGTAGCACGATGTACATAATACGCATTAGGTGAAAATCGATTTAGGGTTTAAACGTGTCCCTTCCCTTGTTTCTTTTGCTTTCTCGTCTTCGGTCTTTGACGATCCTCTGAATGCTAATTAAAAAACAAAAATAAATCGATGCACGAAATCGACTGTATATACGAACACGACACCACGCTGCTAACGATTCTGTGTACACGTGTACGCGTACATGTTGCAAGAAGAATAAACCTTCGAATCTGTATACTGAGACCACTCTATTTCACCCGGTCCCTTTAGTACTCCTTAATGCTTCGCTGGCTTTTACAGCCATCTTCTGTGTCATGTGTGTTTTCGAAGAAAGGAATGAATCGTGAAATTTTCAGGTAACTATTTTTGCAATTGAATTATCGTGATTTTTTAATTTCGAAGAAAGGAATGAACAATGAAAGTGGCTGTATGTGAAGTTAAAGTATCGAAATTTGTAAATTTGGAAGAAAGGGTTCAATAGTGAAATTTGTAGGCGGCAACTTGTGAAATTGAAGTGTACCATAATTTTTAACTTCGGAAGAAAGGGATAAATAATGAAATTTTTAGATGGCAATCTGTGAAGTTTCGGTATATTTAACATTAGGAATTTTCTGAGATTAAACTGTCCACAGAAAATCCCCAAAATGGAAACTAAAATTCTTGATTCTTTAAGAGGTACAATATAAATACAAAAGAAGCCTCAATCCTCGAAATATAATATTACAAAATGTGAAGCAGAGAAAAATTCATTTCTTTACAGTGGAAAATTAAACAGACGAAAGGAAAAGTGAGATTTAGGAAATTCCAAGAATTAGAATAGGGTCAAGTCACTTTCAATTAACATAAGAAATCTTCATTATTCTCAATCGCCGCCCCATTAAACCTCCACAAAGACCTTTATCCTCGGTAAAAAGGAAGAACGAGAAAAAAAGGAGAAAAATGTTCCGACAATATTTACAGCATCCTTAAAAGATATAAAACAGAGCAAGTTCCTTGGTTAAGAAGAAAGAGAAGAAGAACCCCTCGCGGAGCTTCCTGCGATTCGTTTTTCTCCAATTGGTAGTAATTAATTAGCGGCGTGTCTTACGCTCTTTCCGGGATTTTATTCGCCGACGCGGTGAGCTCGCCGGGCTCAGCTTTTTGTCGGGCCACAAAGGCGGCCGCTTTCGCCGGTGCTTTTGTTTAAATATTAATAACGCGCGGAAACTCTGTCGCTCTCTGGTCGCGGCGGAAGGCCGCGCTTTGTTCAATTAAACTTAATATCTTTATTATATCGGAGCGTCGAAAGCGGATATTATTTATTGCGGCGAAAGTCGGGAAAACAAGCCGCTGGAGGGGTGTGAGGGAATGAGCCAAGTACTGTTCCCTTCGATGTTTGCTGGGAAATTAAATCTGTATAGTTTTTTACACGTAGAATAACTATGATATCTGTATTGGAAATTTTGAAGAAGTACGTTCATTTAGTGAACGGTAAGGGTGGTTTATCGACTTTTTCTGTCACTCTTTTCATCTTTAACACTTTCACTGCGGCAGCTTTCATCGGGACTTTTCTATTTGGCGGTACGAGACAAATAAGCCCCGTTTCTTCGCTTTATTTTGTTGTTTTATCCTACGAAGGCTCGATTGGTGCCTAATACGTTGAAAATAGTGGAAAATGGTGGAAATATCAGCTTAGCACGCAGCTAATATTCAATGAAAAACGAGTCGCACAGGACGTGAACGTGTTAATTTGATTTCGTTAAGTTACAAGTTTTGTGGTAGTGAAAATATTTTTATCTTATTTTTATTTTTATTGAGAGTCATTTGAGGATTCATTCTTTTTATAATCAAAAGCAAATTATAAAATATATAATTCTTTCTTCATCGAACACTTTCAATCGTAATCATTTATTCCTTCCACTGATCTGAGTATTTTTAATATACGCCGAAACGAGATAGCCGGAAATAGCACAATTAACGTAACTACATTATCAATTCGTCCCCGTTATACCAATACCATGAATGTGTGATTCAATTTATCATGGAAATTGGCAATTCAAATGTAATCAGATGATTCTGCAAATCACAATTTTTGAACTTTTCTTGCAGATAACAATCTTCACTTCCCACTCAAGCTTAATTGTAAACTAATTTTCCATTTCCACTTCACAATTCTATAAATTATGTAAATTCACAGTTGAATGTAAAATCAGGTAATTCTGGAGACCAAAATTTGTCAAATTTTCATGCAGACAGTAGTCTTTACTTCAAACTTAAATTTAACTGTAAAGCAATTTTTTTTTCACTCTAATTTTTTCCACAAAATCAGAAAATTTGCATATTCATAATTTGAACATAAGAGCGGGCGAATTATTTCGAACATCAAATACGAATTTGTTCTTCAAGCTAAATTACTACCATCGTTACCTAATTTTCTACAAAATTAAAAATGACTCAAATTGCATTAGAATTCGTATATCTGAAATGACGCAGGCAGATCGAACAGCATCCAGTGAAACTAGCAGAAAATTGTAATCGTCGCATGTCCATCGGGCGGCGTAATTCCGCCATGGAAAAATCTGACGCGGATGACGTCGGTAACTAATATTCGCTCGTTACGTGGACCCCTTTTGTCGCCGTGATAAATTAGCCGTCGACCCATGTCAAAGGGCCACAAAAGAAAGCGGACCTTCGATGGAGAATCGTACGGACTTCGCTATCCCATCGGGAATTATCGATCAGATGAACGAGCGATGCTTTAGTGTCTAATCTGTTTGTCAAATCTGGCTCTCGTTCGCGGTAACGTTCGCCTCTATTAAACGATAATCGCGTTAATAGAGCCGCGACTAACGTTAATACCTTCGATTACCACACTTTCAAACTCCGTCGTTGTTCGATGGAGAAACAAATTGTTTAATATGTGAAAATATTGGAACAATTTCTGGGGAAAGTAATTTCGCAAGCTTCGTTCGATGAAGAAAATATGAAAAGTTGAGTCTCGAGGGAAAGTTCGGAATATTGATTCGCAAATTGTGCAATTAAAGTTCCTTTTTCTTTTGCGGTATTACTTAGCTTGGGAAGATTATATGTGTACGGTAAAGAGGTTCTGTTGAAAATTGTTCGAAAATCTCGCGTTCGGAGAAGGAACCGAGTGTCAGAAATGAAAAATGGCACTGAGAGAAGGTAATCGTATACTCTGCAAAAATAATATACGTTTCAGCGTTTCAACATAGCGTTTCATATGTTATTGTTTATTTTGTTTCATACTCTGAATTTAAATTATAGTAAAGAAAACGAGAATTTTTTTACGAAATTTGTCTAACATCTTATCCGATATCCTTGATAATTAAGATTACAACGACACTACCGATAGCGCAGATACAATAATCGAAGCCTCTTCGGCATATCCTGAATTTTGATTATCAACATCTCAGTCAACTGAAAAGACACAAAAATGAAAAGAAACGATCCAACGTCTTCTCCAATTTTCCAAAAGTTTTCCTGGTAATAAGTTCATACTGAAGTCACTCGTTCAATAAAGTGAGAAACGTAGAAAAACATAATTTCAAAAAAAAAAGAAACTATATTTTCCGGCATTTTATCAAATATTCCTCTGGTAATCACGAATACAACGTCAGAATTCAGATATAACAATCAAAGCTTTTTGAACATATCCTTAATTTCCATATGAACGTCTGAATCAACAATAAAAAAAGGATCGATTAATCATCCCCAATTTTCTAGAAACACCTCGGTACGTAGCAAGTTCATAATAAAAACACTCGTTCGATAAAGTGTCAAGAAGATCGTATCAGAAGCTACAACACGATCGTGAAGGAAAGAAGCCCAAGAGTCCAGAGTTCGACCAGAGTCAGGTCCATTCTATTAAAACGTATCCCAGCTCGAGCACATGAGCAAGATTATTTCTAGGGGTAGGAAGAAATCACGGCTGGGCAGAAATTCGCGGCTAGAAAGCAACAGTGAAAGGGAGAGACGAAGAGAACGAGGGAGAGACAGACGGAAAGAGGGAGAGCGTGAGAGGGAGAGAAAAGAGCAGCGAGGTGATAAGCCTCGATATCTCGAGCTACACCCCCTGCGCGCGAGATGTAAGCTCCGCCTATCCCTGGGTTACAGCGGCACTTCCAAGAACCCCCCTGGAACCACCCACCCTCTGCCAGGGGGATAACCCAACCCCCGGTGTTCCATCGTCGTTGGCATCCGCGGCATTCCAATTAGCTCGCGAATCAAAAGAGCCCCACTGCCTTTGTGGGGTCTCACCCCCTACCTCCTGCCAAACTGTCTCCTTCCCTCTTTCGTCCCCTCGTTCGTCTCTCTTTCCAACCGTCTCGTTCGCTCTTCCTCTTTCTCGTGATCGTCCAACCACCCTCACAACCCCCCCTCTCTCTCAACTGTTCTTCCTCGTGCCTCTTTCCCGGCTGGTTATCCGGAATCTGTCTCTGTTTCACGCACACG